ATAAACGCCACAGAGCTAGTGCAGCTAAACTCTTGTATCAAAAGCACGTAAAAACATTTAGCCACAAGCGTTAACTACATTTTTGTTCCTTGATGCTAAATAAAAATTGCACCACAGAAGCTATCTAGATTTTTTTTCTTCAGGTGCATGGTATGTTCTTTATCCTCAAAGCCTAAGGGGAAAAATCTGGAATAATCTTAATACATCTTTCCACATAATGTAACATACTAAAACTTAACAAATTCAAATAGCTTAGCTAGCTGACTTGGTTAGCATTAGCTGTCCAACTAAATATCTTAGGAAAATGTTACTGCATGGTATACAGTTGATGCTACAGCTGTTTAGTATTAATTACTTACTGAAAGGGCTGATGTAGTTTAAAAAGACTGTTAGCTGCAGCTCAGGATGCTACTGGATAAGCCTGGGTTCTCAGTCGGTGTTTACATAACCAGTGTTCATTAAAGCTATCTGCACTGCCCAGAAATCAAATGGCAGTTCATGTTAGCAACTGCTAGTGAACATAGTGGGGGATTAACAGCTAAAAGAGAGAGAATTTCCCTCAGGCAAGAACCAGAACAGATAAAGGAAGCCAACTACAAATGTAGACTAAGTTGATCCGTATCGCTGGATGTGTAAATAGGCAACTGTTTTGCTAACATGTTTGCCATTATCAAGTTATAAAGCCTGATATGTGTCAGTGGGTGTGTTACAGCGTTCCACTGCCTCCCAGTGCGGCACAAAATATTTCAGGTTTCATTTGACTTTTTAAATAAATAATTTCTGCTAAGAATAATAAAAAACTATATACTCTTTCTAAAGAAAGTTAGCTTCAGCTAGGCAGCTAGCTAGAAACGCTGTTGTCTTTGATGGTCAAGATACATGGTGATGCCCATCTTATTATCAAATGATTAGAAGGAAACTTTGAGATGGATAAATTAGAATGCAATTTAATGCATGCTTTAATTATGTATTAACTACAACTGTTTTAAAGGACCAGTATGTAGGGGATTTTGAGTGGCATCTAGCAGGTGAAGTTGCTCAGGATTGGCAACCAACTGAACACCACTTCACTTAATTTATTGATGTTTTCAGTTCACTTGCTGACAGTTCTGTGGCTCCATACATACATTTTTGCTTCATTTTGATCACATTCCAAAGAGAGGAAAAATAGCACAAAAAAAGGGGCCAGCTGATCCAGCAGGATGGTTGCCCTCTGTTTTTTAGATTTAGCTGATGACAACAGTAAAATTAGTGTGTGATGTAGAAGTGCAACGCACCCGGCTAAAGTTGAGGATCTTGGAGACGGACTCGGAGATGAACAGGATTTTCGCCCGGTCACAACTTACAACTAACAGGAAACCGTCTGCAGCCTGATAGATATACAGATAGACAGACAGACATATTGATAGACAGACAGATGTATAATCAAACAGGACTGGTTGGGGTGGTACATGAGCACCTACCCTGAGCAGAAGGTGCCTGAGGTCATCATGAGGCAGGAGGGAAGGCTTGTAGGTGGTGTTTGTAAAGGCGCTGCTTGTCCCAGCTGAAAACACAGGAGACACAAACTCTTAGATGGAACAGAACAGACGTTACTAATGTTGTAAATTACCAGATGGGTTAAAAGGTACCTTTGAGGGCTTTCAGGTGTTGCACGGCCTTCCGCAGCACAGTGAGTTTGTCAAGTTTTCGAGCCATGGGCTGACAGGCAGGGATCATGGCGGAGAGCTCGTCAATGAGGGTGTTCATTTTATCCCTCCGCCGCTTCTCAATCTGGCTGTGAGGCTCCCTGTAGGTGCAGTCAGAAATCAGTCAGTGCCACCGAACGCCCTAGCGACTGTATCTATTTTTGGGGGAAACAATTATCTGGAGTTCCTAATGCAATTATATTAACACTGTGAAAGTCATTATGGTTTTAAAATACCTGCTCACATTAGACACTAAATGAGACTAATCAAAGCCAGGAAGGCTTTTCGAGACACAGCTGGCACAGTAATTTGATGTACGAATGGAATTACCTGAAGCATTTCATTTTGACTTGCTGATCCTCTTCTTCAGACCTGCAAATAAACGGATCAAATTCGATTTTTTTTGCCAGTATTCTCTCATAAGACAGTGTGTAAACAAAGCCAAGACGTCAGCGTACCTGCTGAGGTCATCCTCCATTTGGAAGTCAAGGCTTTGCCTGTAAGATCGAACGGACACATTGCGAGAACAGTACAGTAAACATATTTACTCCAGAGAACAAAGAGTAAAATGACACTGAGTTTGTATTTTCTCTTCACAAATAACATAGCATAACATAAGCCCTTACTGTACATGGGTGTCTGACCTCTCCTCCACATCTCCCTTTCGTTTCCTTGGCAGCTCGACAGCTGGCAGCGAGGATCCTGCTTGGCTTGGGCCTTCTTCCTCTGCAGTGGGATCTGATACATGAAAACATCCATCGCAGTGATGTGAGGGACCGCGAATGCATCAACCTTAAGATCTCTTTAGCACTGGCTTGTCAGGTGTTCTATTAATAATTCACCACGAATGAATGAATGAATGAATGAGACTTGCTCTGCCACGAGGGTTTGTGCACATATGGAGCAGCGAATGAAAAGAATTCATCAAGGAGAGTGAAGCTGGTAAGACTCTTGTTCCTGTGCAAACGCCTTTAACTAAATTTAAACAGGTGTTTTACTTTAAAACAATAAAATGAACATTCATACAAGTGAATAAGTAAATACAAAGCCACACCTTGATTGGATAACAGAATGCTTGTGTGTAAACTGTGTGACAACAACCGAATCAATGCACCTTCAGGCTACCTAAGCTAAGCTAATTACTGGCAGCAACCAAGGCTGCACCTGGACCTGTGTTCAAAAACTGACAAACATATCATTATCATATTCAAACCTCTGCAACTGATCAGCCACAGATTACTGCTGCATGCACAGCTGTGGCATCCGGCAAGAATAGAGCTATGTTCTTATCTGTTATCACAATTAAGTCAATTGTTGCACAGTGATTGTTTGAAATATTCATTAATATTTATAATTAATCATAGTACCAATGTGTTTGAAGTTTTTATTAATATTTATAAGTCATCATAGAATTGTTGCAGCCTGTTTGGATTATGTATTTATAAATATTTATAAGTTATCATAGTAGTATTGTCAGTGCTACTTTACTTTAATAAACAATGGCATCATGCCAAAGTGTGTAATACACTCGCCAGCTCACTGTGCCAGTGTCATATATTGTCTTGGCTAGGTGCCTAGGCCAGGTTAGCAGTTATAAATATGCAACATTCAATTACACTTTCAAAATAAAGCTAGCTGAGGTTGCATTTAGGTTAAGTTTAGGCACCAAAACTACTTGGTTAGTTTTAGGAAAAGAGTGTACCTGACGTAAGCTAACTTACCTAATGTACGTAAAGGTCCAGTGTGTTGGATTTAGTGGCATCTAGTGGTGCAGTTGCATATCACAACTCACTTGTTTCCCCCTCCCTTTCCAAAAGGGAGAAACTATGGTCAATAGATCCTCCTAAATGTTACACACTAGACCTTTAACTTAAGTAATGTTGACTTTTGGTTTCAGGATTTAGATTTTACTATTTACAATTAACTTGTTTTCTTTATTTATTAAAGTAACATTGACCAAACAATTACTAATTATTATGGCCTTTCTTTTCTTTCCTGAACGTCCTACAAAGCAGACATACAGTAGATCGGTATTTGCCAATCACAAAGTAGTCTATCACGGCTATAATTTTTTACATTTATTTTGAAAATTAGGTCATTTTAGCACCAATATTTGAAAATAATTTTTGTCCTCAAAAGCACAACGTTTTTGTGAGCAAACAATCAGGATGACTCATAAATGTGTTTGCAGTGGTGGGTGGCGATTATTTTTAAAAGCCTGATATCTCACTCAGGAATGTTTATCTCACTGTGGAAAAAGGCATACGCCTCTTTAAAAGCTGACCCGTGCCTGCCAAAAGCATTTCTGAGTGCACGACTGCCAGAATTCTTCACTTTCGTCTATTTAGTCTCTTGCCAAACCAACATTCCCTGCCCCACACACACACACACACACACACTTAAAATGCCTCGGCTTAGTCTGCTCTGCAGTCATCTGTTTCTAGGCGAACTATCGGTGCACTGGCTGACGGTTGCCATTGAATGGCGCCAAACCGCCAGCTATGATCTGCATTTTGTCAGTTTAAAATGCACGTGAGAGTAAATGGGGTTTGGGCTCGTCTTACCTAACACTTATATAATGCTGTAACAGTGACCTACTTCACTCTCATATTTTAAATTGTGACATCCATTTTGTACAAAAAGTAAAAGTGAACAAAGCTTGTGACCGTGACCGACCCACATTCTCCTGGTGTCTCACTAAAGGAGGAAAAGTAATTGATAATAATGGCAAACTTCTCATAATGAACCCATATTTCTCTGCTGGTTTTATAATATAAGCTTGGGCGCCTAAAAACGTTTGCACACTTTATAGAAAGAGTCCTAAAAGGAAAAACCTAGAAACAAACCGTTGAGGGAAGCGTATCTGAGAGGTCATAGTGACCCTTTCCTCAGGTAGAAAAGTCAAACCTCACAAACAAACACAGCAAGCTTTGACAAACAGGCACAGCTTTTACAATTCAATCAGCAGTGGAGTGAACTTCAGTGATATTGACTACATTTCCTTTAATCCTTCCAGAGGAGTTTAGTGGGTCATCACTGACGCAAAAGTGGTAACTGGGAGCGAGCGCTTGCCGGCTCTCCCTTCCACCCACCACAGCTCTCCACCGCTGATGCTGCACAACACACCGCCTCCAACGTCACACAGTTTTTCCTGTTTCCTTATTAGTCATGATTTTTTTCCCTGGGTACCTATGTACCGGCCCCTGCCAGCTGACTGGCTAAAACGTGCCATCTAGGAAGGTACAGTGCCTGCTTTGTGCTGTGCCGAGAGCACGTATAGACCGCCACGCTCTGAGTCACACCCCGAGCCAAAAGGCTCCGGTCGTGACGAGAGTGCTGACGAGAGGCCAAGCCTGCAGGGCAGCACATGACATACCATATTACTCAAACTGGCAGACCACAATAAAACACAGACCACCACCCATGGGAGAGATGCAGAGGAGTGTGACAAACTCAGTTTGAGGAAAAATACATGACCTACACATGCAGTTCGTCACGGCTGTACATCCTCTAATAAGTGCACATTTTATCCCACTTGAATAACTTCAAGGTATTTGGTTGTGGAAAGTAGAGTATAGATGACCTAACTTGAATTATAGACATGATGTATTGCCAGGAAAAATCCACTAGAACACAAGTAAATGCAGTAACCTCATTTAATACAGTACAAATGAGTAAATTCAGCAATAAAAACACAAATACTAGAATTCTAACAAAAAAGCAAGACCAGCAAGATGAACAATAAATTCCATATGGAGCCACAACTGCACAGTTGAAAGCCAGTAAATCTGAAGCATGTGCCAATCTCTAACTAGCTTTTGACATACGTTTAGGATATAAGACAATGCTAGATTTATGCAGACAGCTCATTTCAGTCCTCTTTCGAGCTCAGAAACTCCACAAAAGCAGAGCTCACAGACACAGACCCGAGTTACAGTAAAAGCACACAATAACAGGTTGTGAAAGGTTAGCAGGGAATGTTTAGCGTGTGTCCAAACAGCATATATTACAGTGACAGTCTGAGCTAAACAGCCAGAGCAAGGATCTGGATACAAGCTGGGTTTAAGGTTTGACTACACATGTGCAAATGTTTTTTAATAAAAAAAAAAACTGGGACAAAAGTATTCCAAGTTAAATATGTATGAAGGTACGAGAGTTACATCTGTGTTTACTTGATTCTGCAACTAAACACCGGAGTATGGTTTTCAAAATATTTAGTACATTTGAACATTTTGGTGTCACGGGGCTACATGGAAAAAGTTTACCCAGTAGAGAAAGAAATGTACCGTTACTCATAAAATATTATAGACAATTAATACATTCATGAACAATACATGTACAATAATTAGAGTGAGTATTTATGCTTTACATGGCTTACTTTTTTGTAAATACATGCACAAACACAAACATTCCCTTCTACAAATTACAAATGCATATGAGGAGCTGTATTGTTCTGTATTTTCTTACAGACACAGTAAGAAAAGTTCAAATGAGGGCAGTCAGTCTCCTTTTAAACAAATAAAGTACAGATATAAAGCTTTTCATACATATATATGTTTCCCAAATGTCTAGCTTTTTATGTGAAGATGAAAACCAAATTTCATCTGTTTATATTTCCCTAAACGCAAATTCAAAAAATGTATTTCCTGGGTGTATACGTGTTTGTATATACTTTATGCACACAAATAACTATATTTATATTTTGTTTTATTTTATCTTATATGTTATTCTAATGTGAATTGAATTATCTGTTTGGATGTTTGTCACATGAAGGAACGGCAAACTTTCATTTTGTTGTACAACCTTGTGTTGTATAATGATGCATGTATGACACTGTATTCACCATTGAAACTGAACACGTTTTTATTGTTAACTTTGTAAAACTAAAACAATCTACCCAATGCACACATCTATATGAGTGAGGTATGGTGTGACTTTTCTAAAGCTGGCCTCATTGCAGCCTATTAATGCAACTGGCTTCCATTCCTCTCACTCCAAGATGCAGAAGCGTATCAACTCTATATTGTTTCTACAGGATGCCACTCATTAGATCAATACCTTGGCCAAGATAGAAAACATATCAACTATCCAGACACAGTAATTGGGACAAACATACACAGTAGCAGTGTAATATCGGATCATCTTCATCCTTATAACATCCTTATATTCTTTCAACCTACAAACACTGAGCATAAATCCTCTCTGGCTCAAACAGCATGTTTTTCAAAGGATGGATTGTCTGTATTCTCATAGATATTTTGCAAAACTGTCAGGTTCAAACATACAAGGACACTTCCTTTGTTGATACTCAACACAGATGGCTGTTTCAAGGCCAAAGTTATAAGATCCATCAACAGCGCCAGGATTGTCACCCTTTGTAGTTTCTTAGTCCATTAGTGCTCCATGTGCAGACCACTAATGTACCAGTGGATGTAAACAGTGACTACCTTGCTCTGGGGTCACTGCACCATCATCTGTTACTTTTCAAAATTAAATCACATTTCCTTTGTCCAGACTTTTTTCATACAATTTGTCACAAAAAAGTGTGAAAACAGCAGCTTTCTGAATTTGATTATTGGTAACACTGTAATTAGGGCTGCAACTAACAGTTATTTTCATTATTAATTAATCTTGATTATTTTATTGATTGATCATTTGGTCCATAAAATGTCAGAAAATAGAAAATGTTAAAACGATTAACTGACTATCAAAAGAATATTAACAACTGCATTAGAAAATATTTAGTTCCTTGATAAAAAAGATTTTGGCAAGAAACAATCAGTCACTGAGCTTAAAATTCCCTCACCTAAACTGTCAAAGATGTGTAGTTATTAGTTAGTCATTATGCTGTTAAGGAAACTGGTTTTATAATCTGCAGCTTTAATCATGAATTCAGCAACTACGGTGCCACGTTTTGTTTGTTAAATGCAACAACAAGCTGGGAGACAGGTGCGGGGCTAAAGGGCAAAGAGACCACAGAGAGACAAAATAACTTCAATGAGAAAGAAAATGCCCACAAAGAGACACAAAATGCCCACAAAGAGACACAAAATGCCCACAAAGAGACACAAAATGACCACAAAGAGACATAAAATAACTGTCAAGATTTTAAACAGCCATAAAGATACACATAAAACAACTACCATGAGACACAAAATAACTATAAAGAGACACAAAATAACTACTAAGACACACAAAACAACCACAAAGAGATAAGAACAAACCACAAAGAAACACAAAATAATTACAAAGAGACACAAAATGAGGACAAATCTCCACTGTAAACTAAATGGTTTTTCAACCAACAGCAGCACCTGAAGAGTCTGACTCACCTACAGAATGTCACTGATAGAGACACAGTTTCACACACTGAGTCAGGCCAAGCCTCTGATCCTGTCGGTAGATGCTGCTAGTTGTACTGCCAATACAATGCCTATATCTCTGCTACTATTATTTATATAATAATCTACTATATACACTACTAATAGTAATCTTTGTCAGTTGTCGTTATAATCCGTAAACATGTATGCTGTAATGTCAACAATATTGAGATTGTTATATTGTTATACTTATTGAACAGTTGTTTCAGTATCCAACTGTATAGTTGTAGAAGTTGTGGTAAAAGTGGTACTGGGAGTAGTAGCATTTGTTGTAGCAATACAGTAGGTTACAGTACTGGAGTATTAGCATGAGTAGTAAATGCAGCAGCAGTCATAGTAAAATCAGTAGTAACAGTAGAAGCAGTACGAGTAGGTGTAGCAGCAGTAGTGACAGCAACAGCAGTATTAGAAATACTGCAGTAGGATTATATCTGGAGGAAGAGGACCAAACTCCTGGCCATTATGTAAACCCCTCCCGTCCCCTACATGACACTGTGGCAGAGAAGCTGCTTTAGCAACAGACTGTTACAACTAAGTTGCACTAAGGAGCGCTGTAGACAATAAGACTGTACAACTCTTCCTCCTGCTGGCTCATCACGGGGATCAGAGACAGGGCTGCTCTACATTGTGTCAGATCTCCATTTATGTTTCTTTTATAGATGTCAACTTACTGGGGTTTTTTGTATGTATTTTATTATTCTATATTATTATTTTATTTTCTATCTCTGTCTCTTTCCTGCAGAATGTGTAGTTTTTGTGGTTGCAGGTTAATAAAAAGCATTAACACTCAACAGACAACAATTTTATGACATGACAAGACAGGAGCTAATAAAAAAGACTGGCAGACATGACAGAGAACATATTCCATAGAAATAACATTATGGCTGACACATCTATAGCTGCCAATTGACTCCAAGTGTCTTCTCACCTCAGCTTGAGGTGAGTAATTATCTGATTTTTTACTGTGTGATCCACCTGAGACATTCATATAGTCGCATTATGCCAGAGCTCAGTTTCTCTGCTTCCATCGAGGAACATAACCACAAGTATTGTGGTTTTAGATTGATGCAGAGAAGGCGCAAAGCCTTAAATCCTACAGTTACAGTACAGTATGTTCCAGGTTATTTCTGGTTGGCTGACCTACAATTACTGCAACTCCTCACAAAAAGCACAATGCATATTGTGTTACAAAGCACATGCAATTGTATTTGACTGTTAGGCAGGGAGCTGCAGATGTACACATAAGAATATAAATACGGACTATGAAAGTTATAAAGGCGTATACCCAGAAACATACAGTGAGCCAGGCATTTTAGAACAAGATTACAGAGTAAACACAGTAAGAAACAGTATTTATTGTGTCATTGAAATTGTTATTTAAATACTAAATTTACTTCAAATGCAGAGTTGTCAACCCCTTTAAAGGAGGCTTTATTTGAAATATTGTATTTAAAAGTCTGTAGTCAAGTTTAATGGAAATATAGGGGGATGCAATGCAGTTTGCAACATTTATGTAACAATATATTATATTATACTATATACATATTAAACAATAATTCAATTTGAATATTGTCATTCAGTGAGTGTTTTTTTTCTTTTTGCAAGATTTTATATGTAAAACATTCTAAAGGCTAATACAACATCTCAGTGTAAACAACCTTGAAACTAATACTTTAATTCAAATTTGTACTTTTGATCTTTTATTTTTCCATTAAGATTTCTGCTTTTACTTGTAACCTAATTGTTAAAAACACTTTCATTACAGTATTGATCAGGTTCTGACCTTTACTGCAATTCTACAGAAGAACACCAAAGCAAAATAGAAAATACTTCATTCAATTTACATTCACTTTACATTCTATAGCCTAATAAAATATTCCTTTAGTGCTTTTGTGGGTAACAGAGGTAATCATGAATTTATGGTGCCCTAACCCTAACCCCTAATGCACTTTTAGTATATTTTAATAGACTATCTTAAAGATATGTGGGTGGCTATTATCAATTTAATATCCCAATATAGTTTTAGTGTGTTGCTGGAACTGAATAAATATTTTGAATAATAATATTGCACCTCATAATGTTCCCATTGTATTGTATTAAACAGGTACTTTTAACACTTATGGCACCGTCGAAGCCTACTAAATAATAATAATAATAATAGTTGTTCTGGTTTTTGTCTTATAACTTTCTAAAGCGCCTTTGGTATTGGACTCAGTGTTAATAACGTTGTGGCGCTTGCTTCACAAAGTTGGGATGGCTGACATTACTGCAGTGGCTCTGGGTGTGATCCCGGAGCGGCGGGGAGCGGCGGGGAGCGACTGCCTCCCTCTGCTGCACAGTGAAGGCAGCGCTGCTCTACTGATCTACTGACCCAGTTTTAAAGGAAGCTGAACGAGAGAGGACAAACCTCGTGGAACCACGTGACGACCTAAGCTCCCCGAGAGCAGTGAAGGTTAGATTAATGAACAAAATAAAAGACTCTGGCAGCTTCGGGGCAAGATGGCGGCCGTGTCACAACAAACTACATGGTTATGGTTAAAAAATGTGGTTGTTAAGGTTGTTTTTTTTTTTTATTTTTTTTT